TGTGCGGAGCTGCCGTCGTTGCGCTGGCCTGGAGGACAGAAGCAGGAGGCAGCCTCCAGGCTGAGCAGGAACTGCTTCATCTTTAACAGCAATACAACATCGAGCATCACCGCATCTTGAGAGTCACCAAGAAGGCAGAAAAGTGTATTCCCTGCATGTGGGTACCACTGACGATTAACCAGCCTGATTTATTGGAGGAGGTGCTCTGGGGGATGGCCTTGATCCTCCAGGTCTGGAGTGCCTGATCCTGTCTGTTGGCACCAGAATAACAGGCTGGGCAAATTCGTTCTGCTCCGCTAGTGCAAACTCACCATTCCAAGTCATGCGGAGAGCAAAGCCTCCCGGAGAGCACCCATGCACGGCACCGAGAACCGCACAAGAGGAAGGCAGGGATCAAGGCAGGGGAACACAGAGGGCCTTTCCTTTCAACTCTTTTGTGTGAGCAAAAAAGAAGCCAAGGAAACCCTCAGAAAAGCAGTTGGTGAAGAGAGGAAAGGAAATGCCGTTACAAAACTGGAAACCTCATCTTCTTGTCAGTGCCTCTGGCCTGAGCAAAGCCTGAGATGAGGCACTGTTACATGGAGCTGCTTGGTGATGAGTAATGCTCCCTCCTCCTGCCTTCCTCCGGGGACTGCTCACCACCAGCAGGATGGACAGACAGACAGACAGACACAGCATGGACTGGGCAGGGGAGGACGAAGGAGAGAAATCTTAATAATCAGCCTAAAATTGATTCACTTCTGCTCAATCTGATTTCTCCTAACTGGATCCACATGTCCTGGCCATGGCACATTAACTTCAATTATGGCTTATTAATGTCTCCGTGATGGAGCGTGCCCTGCTGAGCACTGTGGTGACTGACATTATGAAGGGGAAAAAATTACTCCAAAGAGACACGGTGTGTAATGGAAATAGAACCGGCGGCTTTCAGCGCGCCGGCCATCAGTCCTGGCAGCCAGGAAAAGCTCATTCACCCATTCCTGAGGAGATAACTGAGCTCTTTGCTGCACCGAGGAGAAAACTAAGCGGTGAATAGAGATCTGCGGGGAAAAGTCTTTCTGCTTCCCTTCCCCATCCTGCCTGGCACACACACAAGCACACAGGCCAAGGGCTTGCTTGTGTCTATTCCTGTCTTGACTCCTCTGCATCTCCAGTTACTCTGCAGATCAATAGGGACAGGATGGAAGAAGAAAAAAAAAAAAAAAAAGAAGAGAAAAAGATACCAAGAAGAGGAAAGAGAGTAAAAATAAACTGTTGGCCATGAACGGAGAAATGGACCTGGCTGAGGCTGTGGGAGGAGGAGATGCAGGCGAAGCAGGCAGAGGAGGCCCTGAAGCACCAGCCCATTGCACCAACACCCAGGAAGGGAGCAGTGACCCTCAGGATTCACCAGACCCTCTGGAGATCCTGGCAAACTCTCGACTGCCCCTGTTCACCTGGCCCACAGGGGGGAGAGAAGGCAGCACACTCCTTCCCCTTCTCCCCGTGTCCTTTGCTCCGTCTCTTTCTGCTTTTCCCAAAAGCTCTGGGAGACTGCAGTGAGGGGTATTCCTTGGTGAGAAGCAGAGGGGTGAAGGACGGGGTGCACCTGGATGGGAGCCCAGGAGCACGTGGCCCAGGGGCATCAGAGAAACCTTTCTGAACCCACCGGCTAAGGCTGTGGCATGAGAAACCACCCAGGCTCGTGGTCTGCTCTGAGAGCAAAGCGTTTTGCTCCTCCCTTGACCGTGAACATCAACTGGAAATGAGTTGCCATGTGTCTCATTACCCTGCGGGCACTGCCAGCTGCCTGCCAAAATCCTGGTGCCATTCAGGGGCACAGGCGATGCCACACACCGCTCCTCTGATAGCACATACCGCGGCTGGGCACCACTTCTCCGTCTGCCCGGGGCTGTTCACATCTGTAAGTCACTGGCTCCTCTGCTCTCCTGGTGGGATTTTCTGTCTGCTTTTTGCCTTTGAGCCTTCATTTCTTCATAATCATCTTCCCTCTCATTTCCATGATCCCTGTAGTGGCTCCCTAACACCCCCCCGTTTTATCTAGGCACTTTCCTCCTGTTCTCGAACGTGGTCATTCCCACGTCCTGGAAGAGGCAGCATGCGTCCATCCCCAGCCCTGCCCACCCTGCCTCCCCCCTTCCCTGCACAGCGCTCCTGTCAGGCTCACATTGATTTCTCCTCTCTTCCTCTCAATAACCCACCCCTTGTTGAGCCATACACAAGATTTAATTTGGTTTTAGTCCCTGCACTGTAACTGGCTTTGCTTACAGCTGGAATTAGATTGCTTTCCAGCGAAAAAACCTGCTTGCCGAGACTGGAATAATCACAGGAGCAGAGTTAATTCACATGAAGCTTCTCCACCTTATACACCACTTATCCACAGCTCCTCAGCTGGCCGTCCTGCCCTGCACCCACCGGAGATGGAAGAGTCAGCCCAGGACAGGCATCAACTTCTTCCCCATCCAGGATGAGTGTCCCCTTCTCCTGGGGACCAGCCCAGCAAGCGGGGACAGCTGGGGAGAGCTGGAGCAAAGCAAAGCTGGGTCTTGCTGTAGCTCAGGACTTGGAATTTGGGCCCTAAAAAGCAGATTTCAGAGTTTTCTTTGTCCCCGGCCAAGGAAAAGCCCTCTCCTCCCTGCCGCACGGAGGAGTCGCTGTCAGGCAGCTCGCGGTGAACGGAGCCAAGAGGGAAGCGGAGGCGAGCCGTCCACCCGGGCAGCCGTCCACCCGGGCAGCCGTCCACGCGGGCAGCGTGCCAGCTCCGGGGGGAGGCCACCAGGAATCAGCCAACAAACCCCAACCCGTCTCGTTCTGGCCCCAGCGAAAAAGCAGCATTGCAGCTTCCACCCGGCTTTCGCAGCCCGACTCTCCCTCGCCAGTGCTGTCCTCAGGACGCAGGCAGCTGTGGACTCTCGGATGTCTCATAGAGGTTGTGCCCCACCTCTCCCCGGGGCGTTTGAAGGAGCTTTCCTCCCCTGTCCTAGTTGACTCTTTTCACAAAGTTTATAGGGATTTTATCTCTTGAAGCAATCTCCGCTGCTATTAAACAGTATTAAATTTGGACAGTGAGTTCAAAACATGATGGGGGACTGGTCATGATGGGGGGGAGAAAGACAGCTGACAACTAGCAAGATGCTGGTTTGTGGAGAATCCCACCAGCACGGCCAGAAGTTAAAAGTACTGAAGTGACACATCCTGAACAAGACAGGCAGAAAAGGTAACGGCCCCTGGGGAGGAAGGCATTCATGGGACACCGAGAGTATTTTAACATGTATCTTAAAGCATCAAGTACCCCAAAGGTGCTGCACGTGCAGTAACAAGTCCTTGGTTACCTGCACAGTCCTCTCCATGCTTGGAAGCCAAAGGTCATTGCACAAGGGCATCAAATATTTAATCCTAATTTACCACTTTCTGAGCTGAAAACTCTGTGTCCCTGTTACAGAGTCTAACCAGCCTGGATAAATTGATAGACCAGCTCCAATCCTTCCTGCCAGCCGCCCCTCAGCGTGGGCTTTGGCTGGGAATTCATCCCTGAGGCTTTGCCACCGCTGTTGGTTAACACCAAGCATCCCTGCGGGCAGCTCGGCCGCCCAGGAGGGAGCGGAGCCGCGGCAGACGGAGCAGGGGGCAGGACTGGCTGTGTTCGGGGTGGAGGGGAAGGCAACGCGCCGGCCTTTCCTCTCGCCTTTGCCTGCTTTCCTTTCAACCCTCTTTGCTTTGCTATTTTGCCCCATCCCGAGCTGTTCCGAGGACCGTGGATAGTTAGCACGCCTGGCAATACTTCTTACAGGCAGGTGTAAAATGTCTCTCTGCACATTTATATACAGAAGCACATTGCACCGGAACCCGGGCGCTTGCAGATGCGCTTGACGGTGCTCTCCCACACCTCTGCCTGTGTGCCTGAGCTCCCCAGGGTTCCTCCCCGAGCAATCCCGGTGGCGGGCATGCCGCCACGCCGCCAGCCGAGCTGAGAGCCACGGCTGCTCATCCCACACAGGCGACTGCGCCGCGAGAGAGGCCAAGCCCCTCTGCCTGCTGCTGCCCTCACCGCTGCCTCCTGCCTCCCCCCGTGGGAGCAAAGGGATCTCCTATTCCTCACTGCAGCTTCCTTCCCCTTGGAGCACATTCAAAGCCAGCCTAGGTGGCACCTGCGAAACATTTTTGCTTGCAAGTGTCAGAAGCAAACAGTTTGGAACCGATACAAACGGCTCTTCTGTCGCTGTGGTGATTCTTGTTAGCACGGGGTGGGTGATGGGGAGATTTTTCCCCTCTCGCCTGTAAGTCTCGCACAAGCTGAATCCACAAGCTGGATGGGAAATTAGCCATCTCGGCATTTTTCCACCTTACTTTGCTTTTTCAGTAGATGTCATAACGTAACATATGGCATCGTACAGAGAAATGAAAAACAAAAACCAGGAGAAACAAACCCCCTTCCCGCCTTCCCCTGCCCCAGATCTGTCGGGGGGGTTACCCTCACCCCAAACTTCATCTGCCGGAGCTGGGGCTGCTCCGGGGGGGGGGCAGG